AACGTACAATGCGTATGTGTATTATAATATGCATATTAAGTTGTACTTTTGATTAGTATTAGTCACAGTTGAAACGGTTAAAAGATGTAATTGATTACTGTTCGAGATAACAAAGTTACTGCGAAGGTCAAATGTTATCAATTTGATTAACCAGATTAACCAAAGGGAGGAGTATTTTTAGAACTCATATGTTATTCATATTTAATTATGTCCAAAAACAATTCGTATCACATACGACCATCCCGAACTTTCTAGTCATTAAATACATATTCAGGCACTTGTTTTGGCCTTGTTAACACAGCACAAACTAACTGTTGAATGTGGCAAAAGAAAGTTATCGATATAATCGATAGCTCCCCGGCTCAAGTAAATACATCACGAATAAGCGATTGACAGCTTTGCACTCAAACCGAAAGCTGTATAAATACAACTGTATGCAAATTGAAAGCTAACCCTGCTGTCAGCTGGATACGAAATTAGCCAAAGGGGCCAGTTTCATTCAGTTCTGAACAATGGACAATAAATCGCAACAATGCGAAATGAAAAACATGCAGTAGCTCATCAAAACCAACGGCTCGAACCAGCTGACAAAAATAAAAACCACCTCATCATGTAACGATGCGGCTTGAAGAGCCTTGCCTTGAACAATGCTCGGCCATTGTATCGACTGGGATTAGTCATCCTGAAGACGTGGACGCTTCAGCGTAATGTGAATGATGATTGCGGGGCTGAGATATTGGGCCATGGCTAGGCTAGCTTTGGGGCCAATTTGTCGAATGTGCTCAATTATAACGCTTGAGCTTAATAAATAACTAACTTGCGTTTCTTATCGTAACATTTTCTTATCTTTGACAAAATAGTATTAAATTTATGTTTAACAAGACATCAGTTGGCAAAAAGCAATTGGCACATAATTCCCTGGCTGATACAATGGCTATTAAAAAACCAATTACGTTTAAGTGACATGTTTCTCTCTCGCGCTCGCGCTCTCACTTCTCTCTCTCTCTCTCTCTCTCTTTTGCTCTCTTTAAACGTAACTCAGGGGAGAACAATTTATAAGTTCTTACCAATTACATACAGGAAATACACATACTTACGTAAGTTTGTATGGTATTTAAAAGAAGAAAAAAGTACAATTTCGATGCGTAAGCAGTTTGTTAAAGGTTTTTGGCACTTGAAAAAGAGTTGCCACATTTGCCAAAAAAAGAAAGAAACCTTGAAATTTGCATGACTTTTGAAAATGTTGCAGCAAAATTAATAAACTATTGAAAGTTAGTCAATGTATGCCAAGATGATTCTTTAAGATAATTTAGATAAAACAGAAATGAGCCAAAACTGTTTTAACTCAACTGATCGATGTTATGACAACCCTATTACAGCACACGATTATTAAACGTAATCTGATATTCTTAATCGATATCGCCACAAATTGGTTGACTGACTGACCGATTGACTGGCTGACGGGCTGAATTCAATGTGGAGCAAGGTGTCGCTCGCTTGTTGTTGTTGTTGTTGTTGTTCGCTTGGCTGATTGGCTGTTTGGCAGGTTGGTTGACTGGTTAGGGTGTCTCTTATCAGAGCGAATGACCAAAATACCCAAATAAACGTATGTACATACATACGTGCATATATAGAGCCCAATTGCTGGCTCATATGACTTTTTTAATGAACTCAAGTGGCATGCAAATTGAATTAAAATAGAATATAATTGAGATACATATGTAAATTGAAATGTGCAGTCGATGCATGACTAACTTGTCAATAGGCTAAGAACTTTTGATTGCTGAGTTTCATTTGTTTAGAAAAAACGATGTGACTAACCAAATAGAATAACAAAAAGAAGAAGAACAAGAAAAACAGAGTACCGCAAGGCAACACATATGATTCAGGGCATAAAAACAGACGCTCTTCAATATGGTTTGGTCTCCATCGATCGATCGATCGATCGAGCACCGCCTTATCATAAACTCTGCTGCTCGCTCGATTTGCTGGAGAGGTGCACGAGCATGAGAGCATGGGTGTTCTGCTTCTGATAAAAGAAAAGGCATAAATAGTGCGCACTTCGCCAGGCGCTCAATTAGTAGTACAGCTCGTCCAGTGGCGCTAACAGCAAACGCCCGCAAGCAGAGTAATTTCGCCAACCCATTGCCAACCCACTCGCGCGCGTTAACTCAGTATTTGCCAAATCCTTTGCTCTCTCTCTCTCTCTCTCTCTCTCGCTTGCTTAATATTCACTCAATCGAAGTTCTCGCGACGTGTGCTCATTCGTCAAGTTTTGTTCTCGCGCAATTACTGTTCGCTCTCTCACTCTCTCGAAGTTAACCACATAACGGTGATTTTGTGCAGCCGCTTTCAATCGCCTGTCGTTCAGCACTCGTGCCGCGCACTCAAAACGATCGCGTGTCCGCGCGCAGTTGACCGACCCCCCCTTCGGCACTCTTCATATAGCTTCATTTGTGGCTTCTCCTTCGTTTTCGTTTTTTTGTTTTTGTTTTCGTTTCGTGCGTGTGCGTGTGTTTGTCTTAAATCAATTTACTTAATTCACGCATAATTTTTGTTTTGTTTTTGTTTATTTTGCTCAGCAATTAAGTGGCTAAGCAAGAGGCAAAGAAAACATTCAAATTGAATAAATACCAAAGTGCCCCTAAAAACGAAAACCCATCGAATAATATATCAAAAATGTCTGATATTATCAACGTTGATCATCATGAAAGCGTCGAGGAGTTCAAGCAGAATCTGGAGGAAATGCTGCCCGATGTATGTACATATATATACATATATATATGTATACATATATATAGATAGGATCGTTGGCATGTAGATGGCGCCACAGTGCTTAACGCTTTTTAATTTATTTTCAATATTTTTTTATTATTTCATACATATTTGTTTTTATTACTCACAATTCACGTAATCAGAAGTGTTTGCTCTCGTTGCCGCCATTGTCGGCACACTTTATGGTGGTTTTTTCTTCTATTTTTTAATCGATAACACACAGACAAGCGCACCAAAAAATACTTCTATGGGCTGCTCTTTATTTTATGTATGTATATAGACAGTTACAGTGAACACCTTTGATAAAGTTCACGCGCCTCGCAATCGCAATCAACTGACCACAAACTTCCGTTTATTGTCACTCATTCCCCGTTTGACCATTCCCACCTGTGCGGGTCTTATCGCATAGGTATTTTGCCTAGGCCCAGGCAAACGAAACACCCTTGAAGGGAGGTCCGACAACAACAAGCGTCATCGGTCGGTCGCCCAGTTACCACTCACAATATATATATATATATATATATATATTCGCTCGTAATCATTACCATATACGTAAACTGGTGCTATTTTCGATTTTGTTGCCATTTTGCCACAAAACTTTATCTTATCGGGAAACGCGAAGCAAACGAAACAGCCAACAGCCAACATCATCATCATCGAGCCGAACGACACAAATTCCATACAATATACCCATCTCTAGACCCCTGCTCCAGCCATATACAAAAGCATACGAGCCATATACACATATATATATATATATATATATATATGTGTGTGTGTGTGTGTGTGTATAACTATATCTGGCCATGATGAGAATTTCACACCAAAGTCGTAAACGCCTGCGATTCCCCCTTGGCGAAATGTTTGCGCTTGTCAATGGGGGCTTGGGGATTGCAAATGATTTCTACACAAACAACCGACTCGACATATGCATACTTCCATTTGGGCTTGGCTTAACTATTTGCCGGGAACGTCTATTGTTTGCCGGCTAAATCATGTATTTGTCATGTTTTCCAACCTTTGTTTAAAGACTTCAAGTTTTTTACAAATTTCAATTATCATTTAGAATTTTTCTTAATTTTTTAGGTTTTATGTACAAAGGTTTTTCTATGCGTTTCCTTAACTGAAAGACTATAGTAGTATTTAAACATGGAAACGTTTTTTCTATATATGTACATACTCAGATATTTATATGTACATATATTCAATTGATTGTGCTTGTTTAAACCCAAATATCTAGAAATTTACAATTTTCACTGCAGTTGTCTTTTATGACACAAGAGTTTTGAACAATTTTCAGCTATTAGAGCGGATAATGGGTGGAAAGTAACAGTTCAAAGCATAACAAAATCGATAAATGTTTGATCGGCTTTTGAAAGATTCACCACTAATTGCGGAAAATTGGTGAAATGCTGAGTATTTCTTATAAATGTACAAGGTCGTGAATATCGTTTAAAAAATGCAAGATATTTTTCTTAAAGATAACACAATTACGAACTTAATTTCATTGTCGATGATCGCACGATTCAGGCACTTCGATTTCGATATCGATAACGATAACGATGACGATTGCGTGCGACTAACGATAGCTGTCGCAATGACAGCCCGACTGCACACACACACATAGATATAGACGGCTGCGTCAGTTGCATTGACGATAATAAATTAGCTCGCCTATGAAATGATATGCAAGAGGAAAGCCTTGGCAAAATATTTACCACTGATCTAATTGCTGTGACAGAGCTGTGAGCTGTGAGCTGTGAGGGGGGCAATGACAGAGGGGATGGGGGAGGGGGAGTTAATTAATCAGCAAAGACTGCGCAGCTGATAAGGCAGCGGCAGGAACCTGATGGAAGAATAACCGAGAATGTCTATAGATAGATAGAAGCCATTGAAAGATGGGGGAGGGTGGGCATGGGAGGGCAGAAATGAGAATGTGATTGGCAGAACTTTTTACATATGCAGGTGAGGTAATGGCTCAAATAAAACATGTGCGCCTCCCCATCACATCAATCGAAATGGTTGAAAATTGTTGGAGCAACTGCCGCTGGAACGCTGGAATGTGCGCCGGCACGTCGTCTGCTTAGCATTTCGGGAGGGCAACAAATTCAAATCGCTGAGTCAGCGAATAAAACTAGAAAATTTGCCTAAATAAATGGGCAATGAGTAAGAGTATTCGAGCATTAGTCATCGAAGATTCTTAAGTATGCTTCTGTCTTTTGCAGCTGGACGCGAACAAGGATGGTTTCATTGATCTGCACGAGCTGAAGGATGCACTCAACCAGGTGGGCTTCAAGCTGGCCGGCTACCAGGTGCGCGAAATGATTGACGAGTTCAAAAGCAAACAGCGCACAGCGCATCAGGGCAAGCTGAACCTGGATGAGTTTGAGACACTGTGCCTGGACCTGAAGTCCAAGGATGTGGCCAGCACATTCAAGACGGTCGTATCGAAGAAGGAGAACCTGGAGACATTAGGCGGCATGTCCAGCATATCGTCGGAGGGCACCACGCATTCGGTGCGGCTCGAGGAGCAGCTGGCCTTCTCCGACTGGATCAATTCGAATCTGGGCCACGACAAGGACCTGCAGCATCTGCTGCCCATTGATGCCGAGGGCAAGCGTCTATATCAATCGATCAAGGACGGCATCTTGCTGTGCAAGATCATCAATCACTCCTGCCCCGATACCATCGATGAGCGCGCCATCAACAAGAAGAGCCTGACCGTCTATCGCGAATTCGAGAATCTGACGCTGGCGCTCGTCTCCTCGCAGGCGATTGGCTGCAACATTGTCAACATTGATGCCCACGATCTGGCCAAGGGCAAGCCGCATTTGGTGCTCGGCCTGCTCTGGCAGATCATTCGCATCGGCCTGTTCAGTCACATTACCCTGGACAGCTGTCCCGGCCTGGCTGGCCTGCTCTTTGACAACGAGCGGCTGGAGGATCTGATGAAAATGTCACCGGAGGCCATATTGTTGCGCTGGGTTAACCATCATCTGGAACGTGCCGGCATCTCGAGACGCTGCACCAACTTCCAGTCGGACATTGTCGACTCGGAGATCTACTCGCATCTGCTTAAGCAAATAGCCGGCAACGAGGCCGACGTCAATCTGGATGCACTGCGCGAATCCGATCTGCAGCAGCGCGCCGAAATTATGCTGCAGCAGGCGGCCAAGTTGAATTGCCGCAGTTTCCTCACGCCACAGGACGTCGTCAACGGTGTCTACAAGCTGAACTTGGCCTTTGTGGCCAATCTGTTCAACAACCATCCCGGCCTGGACAAGCCCGAACAGATCGAGGGTCTCGAGTCCATCGAGGAAACGCGCGAGGAGAAGAGTAAGTCCAAGTTCATCGGGCCCAGCGCACCAGCACCAGCAGCTCATTCTAACTTTCCTCTTCTTCTCATCTTGTTCTCAACAGCCTATCGCAACTGGATGAACTCCATGGGCGTGGCGCCGCACGTCAATTGGCTGTACTCGGATTTGGCCGATGGCTTGGTCATCTTTCAGCTGTTCGATGTCATCAAGCCGGGCATTGTGAACTGGAGTCGCGTCCACAAACGCTTCACGCCGCTGCGCAAGTTCATGGAGAAGCTGGAGAATTGCAATTATGCCGTTGATCTGGGCAAGCAATTGAAGTTCTCGCTGGTCGGCATTGCTGGCCAGGATCTGAACGATGGCAATGCCACGCTCACACTCGGTACGATTTGATTTGATTTGATTTGAATTCGAATCTCAGGCAGCGCTGCAAACAAGCCGCTTTGGCTTTCTTCTTTACCAAATAGATACTCCGCTTAACTCTCTTCTGTAATTCCTCTTTGTGTCGCATTCGTAAACGTTGAACAGGCAGCGCTGTCTAACGATTATTCGATTCTCCTTTTTTCCTCATTCGTAAAAGTTTATCTGTCTAGCCCGTGTTGAACTATTTAAACTGACATTTGCTTGTCTCGCCTTAACACAGCTCTGATCTGGCAACTGATGCGCGCCTACACATTGTCCATATTGTCCCGGCTGGCCAACTCGGGCAATCCGATCATTGAGAAGGAGATTGTCCAGTGGGTGAACACACGCCTCTCCGATGCCGGCAAGCAGTCGCATTTGAGGAACTTTAACGATCCGGCGATTGCCGATGGCAAGATCGTAATTGATCTGATCGATGCCATCAAGGAGGGCAGCATCAACTACGAGCTGGTCCGCACCAGCGGCACACAGGAGGTAAAAATAAAATAAAATAAATAAATATATATAATTGAGCTAGTTTTGTTAATGCCTTCTACCTTTGCGCAGGACAACCTGGCCAATGCCAAGTATGCCATCTCCATGGCGCGCAAGATTGGCGCCCGTGTCTATGCCCTGCCCGAGGACATAACCGAGGTCAAGCCCAAGATGGTGATGACCGTCTTTGCCTGCATGATGGCCCTCGACTATGTACCCAACATGGACAGTGTCGACCAGAACAATCACAACAACACAAACAACAGCAATTGAAGTGCAGCAGCAACGACGACGACGACAGCAACTACTCAATTATACTTAAACAAAAGGAGTAACAATTATATAAAAACAACAACAACAACAAAATATTGTATACAATACGTACGCCCATGCATACACGTGCATGTGTATTTGCTAATTAACTGCAACTAACTTTTAAATACGTGGCGCAACACAACGACAACAAACAACAAACAACAACAACAAACAACAGCTGCGCCCCGCAAATTGTTCTTGTAAACGTTCTTTTAGAATTTTTTTTTTTATTATTATTGTATTATTTTTTGCTATTGTAATTAAGCGTAAAAAAGTTAAAAACAAAACACAAAAAAAAAACCACACACACAACACCTTTTGTGTTGCCTGTGCTCATTATAACCAATTTTTTTTTTTTGTAAACAAAAATTTATTGTTTAATTATATAAAGTGAAAACCTTATTTTATAAATAAAGGTTTGGCCCTTTTCTGCTTTAGTTGTATCTGTTTTTAGCCGAGAGTTGAACGTGCAAGAAATTTTGTAACAAATTTAATAACAGAAACTAAATACTTTGTAATATATATTTATAAACAATATATGCGTCAATATACACATAAAACAATACTATATACAAAAGGAATATATATATATACATATATATATAAATCTAAATATATTATCTATTTTTGCATAAAGAGTTGCCTGATAAAGAAAAGGGACAAAGATGTAAGCGAATGCGGCAACCTTTTTTTTCTAATTGTAAGCAAACTTTTTAAAAGCCCATTTTGTTTACGTTTTATTTTTTTAATTTAAATATTTTCTTTTGTGTGTGTGTGTGTGTGTGTGTGTTTCGTATTAGAGCGGGATAGCGACACAGGCATGGCTTAGAAAGAGCTAGCAAATAATATGCCTGTTGTTTTTCTTAGTGCAATGCAATGAGGCGACTTGTATGAAATTGGACATAAATAAAAGTAATATCATGCGCATTACGAAACTAAAGTAATAAAGTATATAATAAAAACAACAACAAAACAAGAAACCAATATCAACTGGCATTTATTTACACTCAGCGCAACACATCCGCAAAGCAATTATATTTAATTGCTTTTCAGCAATATTTTAAAATGGCATAAATCCCATTTTTATGTTGCTGGAAACTTATCGAAAACGAACAACTTTAGCACCACAATCCACCTGTATACTATTTTGATAGGCCATTATCTTGAAAATTATTTGGCTTTTTCTTTGGACTTATAATCTCGAGCTTCATAAAGCACTTCTGGGCGCAAATCCGTTCTGAAGCGGCTGCACCCCAATACATACATATATATATATATATATATATATATATATAGAGCTATATAAGCCCAAGCAGTATTCGAAATCAGTTTTAGTTCCCAATCGCTTTTGCCCATGTTGATAAGCCCGTTCACGTGGGCCAAAAGCTTATCTAATATGATCTTAATTATTTCGTGAACAGAAAAACGAAACCAAGCGCAATTTCAGGGCAATAAGAGAACTTGAGCACCTCGCATACATATATCTTATATTATATATATACATATATAAAAATCGGTTCAGTTTCAGCAAGGTTGAGGAACTGAAAATCTGGCAAGAGAGTCAATATGGATATTGTTGAGACAGGGAATGCTATAATTTATATAGAAGAAAACACCGCCGACACAATAAAGTATATATATTCTTGATCGTATCAGCAGTCGAGTCGATGTAACATAGCAAGTATTTTGTTTTACAAAAAGTCTTACTCAAGCTTGGCTTTTACGAGTATCACCAGATCCCTATATGTGGGCATAACCCTATTCAAATCTGACCAATCTTATTATATATAGCTGCCATAGGAAGGATAGGTCCAAAGTCAAGTTCTTTTATGAAACAACTATTTGTTTTTTCAAGAGAATCTGATCCTAGTGAAGAGCAAAAGTCCTATCCACATCGGATTACTCTATTATATAGCTATATTAGTTATCTGAACAACTTTTGATTTTTCAAGATATTTTCACTTAGCTGAGCCATTTGGACTAACATATTATGTTGGCTTCTGCTTCTGTAGGAACAATCTGTCTGAAATAAAGTTTACTTTTAAATAATATTTCACAATATTTCGAATCACAAGATATATACTATATAACAAAATGTAAAATATATTTGTTTCTATAAATTCATTTATTTGGGCTCCTTTTATAGTTGCTCCTTGGCATAAAAGCGTGTGTGCATATTGTTTATAAAATGATTAAAAAAAATATATATTTAAAAAAAAAAGAAGAGATAATTGTTTATGGAAGTCGCACTAGACGGCTGCAATTGGGATTGCGACACGCCTACGCAATACCTTGGTTAGCCGGCGGGCAGGTGGCAACGAGGACGACGACGACGACGACGGCATTCGGGTATCATTGCTAGCTGGTGTTGGGTGCGTGGTGGTCATCCTGTCGTCCGGGCTGCTGCCCTGCGCATAGCTGTAGCTGATGGTGCGCTTGTAGAGGCGCTGCTCCTGCTCCGACTGCTGCGATTGGCCGCCGTGTGGCTGGCCCGGCTTGGCGCGGCTCTTGATCTGCTTGTTCAATGCCGCATCGTAGCAGCGTCGCATGTGCTGGCCGCCGCTGTCCTTGCACTCGTAGCAGACACTGTTGCCCACCATGCGGCGCTCGCAGAGACTGCTGTCGCCGGCGGGCTGCACGATTGAGGTGTGGCGTCCGGTGCGCCGTTGTCGCACTATGGCGTCCTGCTCCTCGCTCTGCTCGTCGGAGGAGGAGGGTGCGTCCCGGTAGCGCTTGTACTGCGAGCCACTGTCGTAGGCATAGTGCTCCGGCTGTGCCTCGTGCGAGTAGCTGCACGTCTCGATGATCTCGTTGTTGCGCGCCTCGCGACATATTTTGCACAGCTGCCCATTGCGCTGGACACGACGGCAGCGATGCTGTTGCACATGACTGCTGGCCCCCGCCTGCGACTCGACGCTGTCATCCAGCTGCGCCTGATGCTCGTCCACATCGTCAGCCGCGTCGTCATCCGCATTGTCTGGTATGCGATCAAAGTATTGCCGCACAAACTGCTCATAATTGCGCTCGTAATCCTCGCCAGAATGTCCCTCGGCACTGTCACTATCCAGCTCCAGCTGCTCCACGTCATGATCATGATCGATGGCCTCGGAATCCGCATCCGCATCGGAATCCGCATCCGCATCGGCATCAGCATCCGTTTCCATTACCGTTTCCATTTCCGTTTCCGTTTGCGCTTCTATTTCGTCATCATCGTCCGCATCCTCATCAAGCTTGGCCTGTGCGCTGGGCCGCTGTTGCTCCGTGAATGCATTGACCTGGCCGTGCTGCACATCCGTTGCAGTGAGCGCATCCAAACGCTGCAGCAGCTTGCCTGGCGCAAAGGCCTCCCAATAGTTGACACTCTGATCGTAGCCAACGACCGCGCCGACCATCAGCAGCAGCAGCAACATTTCGATTTAAGACGCTGCGCCAGCCGGCGCTTGCCTATTTATGCCGCCAGTTTGTCCAGCGATGCGTGTCCAAATTCAGATTGGAGTTTGATTGGGCAATGGAGCAGCAATGGCAACCGCAGCACGTCAGGAAATGGAAGCCGCAGTCGCCGCAGCCGCCGCCGCTTGCTGCAATCCCCGACGACAGCTGAAGGAAGTGCGAGTGAAAGGCATAGATTCGTTCGTGGCTGGCGCTTTATTGTGGCCAACCAGGGCGAACAGCTTAAGATGGGGGTCATTAAACTAAGGCCAATTGTTAACTAGAAGATTGTGAGTGTGTGTGTGTTTACGTGTGTGTGTGTGTGTGCAGACTTTTCAATAACATTACAAGTGGACCATGGAATGGATCATATAGCAGGGGACGATTTGTGGCCATCAGGACTACGCAATGCGCTGCACATCGCTAATCCGCTGAGCGCCGATGCTCGGCTGCGGCGCCTTAGCCGGCGGCTGGCGCTGATGGCGCATCTCGCGACGTTTCTCCCTTATCATTTGCTTGGTCTGTGACGTGTCCAGCTCCTCCCAGCCGCCAGAGTTGTCATCCACCCAGTCTTCGAGATCAGCCTGCAATTGCAATTTACTGTAGTATATTACCACCTCTGGGTGTGCAGCTCTCCTTGACTTACATTGACACTGATGGGCACCATGTCGTGGGCCTTCAGTCTGGAGAAGTCTGTTGGCGCTGGCGTCGGCGCCGCCGCATCGTCCAGATAATATTTAGGCTGCGGCTTGATGTCCGGCGTCAGTTCCTGCAAGCAAATGGAAGCCAATTGGCAGCTGCCTTTTTGGGACAAGGAGCTGGCAAACACTTACGCTGAAGAAGTCCGGTTCGGGCTCCTCTTTGGGCGGCGTTGGCGGCTGTGCCATGCGCTGGCGATACTGCTCGATGTGCTCCTCCACGGTGCGCGGACTGTCATCCCATGAGTTCCAGTCGCGATCTTTGCCGCCACCGGACGTTGTTGTTGTTGCCGCCGGCTTTGTTGTTGCTGGAAAGTCGCCAATTGTGATCGCTTGCAGCTGGTCGCTGCCGCCGTGGCTGAGCTTGCGGCGTCGCGAGAAGCAGCAGAGTGCACGCCGGCAGAGCGTTATGATGCCCAGTAGGAGCATTTTGATCTGTTGCAGCACCATTTGTCCACAGCTTAATTGAAGTCTCTATTTTATTTTTATGTGGGGAATGGGGTCCAGCAAAAGTAAGTGGGACACAAAATGGAAACAAGCAAAACAAATATGAGATGTCGGATGAGTGTGACCATGCATGATTCAGCTGTCAGCTGTTGGCCGACAAACAAAAAGCTAAAAGCTATGACACTGCAGTGTTTGTAAATGCCGATAAATCAAATATGCACTCTAATACAAAACGAACAACATCTAATTGGACTCCGAAGATTCTAAGATTCATTGATAATTGTGGGTAAATGGCATATATGTTTTTGATGCCAAACGCAAAGATTAATGCTATGACAATCAATCGATAAATAAATTATTTTTCTCATAAAAATATAACAAAGCTTTGTTTATATTTACTAGAGCTCATATATGCAATATAGCACAAAATTAATGAACAAATAAATATATTATATTCGCTTTAACTGGGTAAGGTGCATACTGTTATGCATTTACATACGATAGTTATCGCTATCGCATTAATGCTTTCCATTAACAGTTAAAAGCGCGCAAATACGAAGAATAATATTTCTAAACATAACGTATTCACGCAAAATGCACAAGATTAGTAACTGTTTTTGCTGCTATCAGCATATCTTTAATACAATAATACCTACAAAACGTACATGAATATACATTTGCTATTGTATATTAATTAAAATAGAATAACAAAGTGCTTTTAATGCACCGTGTTGTTGTTGCCATTACCGTGCTCGCAGACATTATTGCGTTCAATTTTGTTGCGCCGGCGAAATTTGACGATCAGCACCTCAATGATCCAGGGCACGGCGCACAGGGCCATGAATACGTTCAATATATGGAAAACCAACAAATAATCCTGCGTGCAGTCTCGTATATAGCCAACGATCGGCCCAATGATAAACATTGCATTACCCTGTGTAAACATGAACAAGCCATAGCCGCTAGCAAAGCTGGGGAAGAAATAAACAAACAGATCATGTAAATCCACGCGGAGAAGTGATTTTGATTACACGACGACGCACCGTTCCTTTGGCAAGTAATCGGCAAATACCAAGGGCAGCGGTACATGTATCCAAGTGCGTAAAAAGCCGAGCACAGCCGTGATGCAGGCCATGCCCACAAAATCGGTGATGCCATTGAGAGCTGCAACAATACATATATGTATATATAAATTGATAAATATATTCTTGATTTGCCATTGCTATCCATACACACCAAATCGAGCGAAAATAGTGAACAGCGCGCCGGCCAAATAAATGTAACGAGCGGGAACTTGAATGAAAATCGCGGTAAATGCCAGAAAAATTCGCGATAGCAAATCCGCAGCGGCTCCGATAGCTATAACATTTGCCGTATCGGCCTGAAAAAGAACAAAACAAAACAAATTAATAATATAAATGTAATATAACAAGTGAAACGCAACTCTAACGGCATCTATTTAAACTGTCGCATTCCTCATAAAGCACGCACACAATCACACGTCTGCGCGCCTGTAGCTGGCTTTTTTTGCAGCTTGAGTCTGTTGCGTCTGCGTGCGAGTGAGACAGAAAGAGAGGTTGTCTGTGCAAAGCGTGAAGCTCCTTCAAAATAACCGACGGATTCCGATTTTTGGCTAGGTAACCGAGGTTTCTTCACGACCAGACAAGACAATTGCCTTCAGTTGCTCTTTGGACAGCGTCTAGGAGTCTAGGCTTTCAAGTGTTTTTTTTCTGGTGCTTTTTTTTTTTTTAGTGAAGTGTCCCATAATGGAAAGAAAACTGGCGATGAGTAAGTACATATGTATGTATATAAAAATACATATATTTAAATATGTACGTGCGTACATGCATATGTGTGCGCACTTATATATATACTTAAGTTAATATAAAATCTTGTTTTAGATAGAACATTTTGCGTAATTGAGATTTCGAATTTGCATTTCATTTATTTCTTATTAAACAACAATAAAGTTCGCAGATTTATGCATGCACACACACACACACACACACATGTGTACTTAAAGGGCATGCGCAAAGTCAAATTTTAGCAGCCACGTGCGCCCAGACAGATCTCAACTGCAAATATGTACATATACATGTACATATACATGCACACATACATGCACTCATACATGCACTCATACATGCATTCATACATGCACTCTTGGTTTCAAGAACAAGGATACTGTTTAAGTATATAAGAATGTTCTCGAGAGACATGCGCATGCATAAGTGTATAAAGAGCGTGCGCAAAAGCATATTGCAAAGCTAAGGGCTGCGCATGAGTGTGAAAGAGAATGCGCAGCTTCGTGGAGTCAGACAAATTCAAAATGGCGGAGCGCAAGCGCGTGTGTCAGTGCATACACACACACACATGCATGCATACGTTAATGAGAATGGAAGCTACATGTATGTATGTATATGTGTATATACGTGCATGCATATAGGGGAACTTTTCTTGTGTCAGGATAAGTGAAGTTGGTGACAAAAGAGAATTGAAGAAATTGGTTTTGATTCAAAATGGCGGACAGCAAGCAACAAATTTGCGTCAGGGTTCTATTGCTGCAGCACATGAACAGCTTTGAATACACAAAGTATATTTTACAAAATTGTTTGAAATAACTTTGCTGAATATGTAGATATGTACATATATATATGTATGTATATATAAATAAATGCTTAGTAAAAAATCTTTTTAGAAAATAAGTTTTCAGTTTTAAGTATGTATATAAGAACATTCTCGGTGTGTATGTATGTATGTATGGGTATGCAGTGCAATGGCGGTCAGCAAACACGTGTAAAAGTTGTTTGAAATTGAAGGAAATATTTTGAAACTGTGAAATAAAGTGAATTAAATCTAATTAAAGGTTAATTAAGCTACATACACAAATGCACGAGAACATTCTTGACTGTGTAAGGATAATTGAAGTTTCTGAGAAATGGAATTAGCTTTGATCCAAGATGGCGGCAGGCGAGCACAAAATGTGCCTCGTGGAGAACATAATAAAGTTAACAAAGAAAAAACATAATGAAACAAGTGACTTACGTTTAAGCGGATTTTGCGAAGAAAAACCTATTTAATAAGAAGTTTCAGTTAAAGTATATAAGAAAATGCTCGATGTGTGTGCATGTTTGTATTTGCATTTATCAAAATGGCGGCCGACAGGCTAAAAAATGCATCCAAAAATGCAAAGTTGTTTTAAAAGAAAAAATAATGTGAAGTAAACTGAGGTAAATAAATGTAGTTTTTGCTTAATAAAAAAAGGAGTGAAGGAAATATGTGAGCTTAGGCAAAGTACAAAGTGTAGGAAAGGTTTAAAGAAGTTTTTGATCACAAATTGTGGACAACAATAAAAAAATCAAGGTTTTTGAAGCACGAAAACAAATAGAAGCGGTTTTTGTCTGTGGAAAACAGAGTTCTTAGCTAAAAAACTATATTTAGTAGAGAAAAAAATTAGAGGTGAATTCTATACAAACAAATTGTCGATGTATGTAAAGAATAATTGAAGATGGAGACAAAAGAGAGTTTAGAGAAGTTTAAAGAGAAATCCGAAATGGCGGACACCGCATGAAACTTTTAAACATAAAAAGTGGTCTATTAAAAGGAATAAAGAAAGAATAAAAACTATTAAAAATAAAGTGAAACTAAAACTGAGTTTAATTGCAACAACTTTTTGTTGATGAATAAATGACAATATCAGATGAGTGAAAATAGGGTTCTTATTATAATAAAGATTTCGCGATGTGTATAAATTGATAAAGCCGTTGATTAAAGGGTGTGTTTATAAAGAAGAATGAAAGAAAGAAGAAAGAATAAGTTTTGATTCGAAAAAAAGATAAGTTAAGCTGGCAAACAAATACCATGTGCTTTTGTTTAGCAAAGCAAATCTTTAAAATCTTTAAAAAACCAGCCCAATAAAGGAACACGAAAAGAGAGAATACAAGAGTTTACGATCTGTACGGATTAGTAAATCTTCTTTGCAAAGCGTGTAGCCATATGACTAAGAAGTGCTTCTATAAACTACTTTTCTGATACGCTTTCGCAGATATGTTGAGGGAATAAAGATGCTCGCAATTAGCAAGTTTGGTCAAGATACCGCGAACTAAACAAAAACAAAATATTCATAGAACAACTTTAACATATTGAATATAATGTTAATTTTCTAATGTGCACTTTTTAAACTTTTAACTGGATTATTAATATTTTAAATGCATTCTTCTTTTTTTTTTACAGAAGACTCACCTTGCTGTAGCCCAGTTCGAAGAGATATGAGGGCTGCATGGTGAAGAACGAGATGTCCGAATATAAAGCGAATGTGATGCCGAGCACAATGTTCACGTAGATGGGTTTCTTGAGAAGCGTCAGGTCGAGGAAATCGACAATGGTGCCGCAGCAGGTGCGCGTCTCGCCAGGTACGTCCAGGTCTTCGTCCTCGTTGGCTGCGGATGCGGATCGGCAGGGTGAAGCGCCACTTATAACCGATTGGCGGCGTGACGCCTGGAGGCTGTGCATCATTTGGGGCGAGGCATCGCTGACCACCATCGGGCCAGACCAGTTGCCCAGGCTGGTAATGCTGGAGGCGCGACTGGAGATGATACGCAGCGTGTGGTCGTCAGCGTGCGATACGCGACGCGAGCCCAAATTCGATACGGGCATGGAGGCAACATTTGCTGCTGGTCCAAAGTCGAGTTCTGGTATGGGCTTCAGTGGCGTCTCCGGTTGGATATGCACAACGACAGTCGGCTGTACGGGCTGCAGTTGCTCGGCTTCCTCTTCCTCCTCCTCCTTCTGCTCCTCCTCGAGGGGCACGCGTCGCATATGCCACTCAACGGGATGCATGAGCAGCATGCCCAGCACCGCGTTCGCATTGATGGCCGTGAGCACCAGGAGGCAGCCACGAAAGCCATACCACTGCAGGAGTTTCTGCATCAGAATGGGATACACCATCGAGCCGAGGCCAATTAGCGTCTGGGCGAAGCTCATCCACATGACGCGATTCTTGACAAAGTAATTGTTAAACGACGTATAGCAGGTGGGCACAATCAAACCGAATCCTGTGCCCTGGAACAAACTGAAGGCCAGCGTCAGCTGCAGCGTGGAATTGGCAAAATACTGCATGCCCGTGCCCAGAAAATAGAGTATGCCGCCGACCAGACCCACCGGACGCATGCCGAAGCGGCGAAACAGCGAGCCGGAGAACAGGCCGGCAAAGCTCATGGAGCAGAAGAAGGTGCTGGTGATGATGGCGATCGCGCTCGTCTCGGCGCCGATGCCTTTGAGGAAGTCGCCAAAGATCAGGCCAAACGAGGGCAGCGCCGCCAAGGCGCTAATCTGTGTAAGTAATGCAATGGATATGCTCTATAGATATTTGTCTTTAGTCATATTATTTCTCACTTACAAACGGCAAGGCCATGCCAATGCAGACCAGGATGCCCCAGCCGCCGTCGGGCGCCTCCAAACGATAGGCTTTGGCTCTGGGCCGAGTTGCTGCCGCGGTTGCCACCGTCATCTTTGCTGCTCGATAGTTGTGCGGTAAGTGAAGTGCATGATGCTCTGGCATGGGTTAGCAGCATCTTCAGCCTAATCAACATCATCATCATCATCATCATCAAGAGCCTGGCCATTATTCATCAGTATCTTGCCGCTGACAGTAGCAATTCGGTTTTATTGTGATCCCTAAGAACACGCCCGATTAGATAAATGAACAAATTAAATAACTCTATGCATCATCTCCGTGTTGTTGGCTTGCGTCCAAAGTGGCTGCAAACTTCCGTGCCAAGCCCCAATTTGCATTGGCGTTCGGCTTCCCGCCTTTGTGTTTATTATCAGTTCCATGGTTTTTATTGTCCAATTGCAAAGCGCGTCTATTGCAGACCCCCAATTGTCAACAACCAGTCGACAGCTTGTTATTTGGACTTGTTTTTTTTTTTGTTTTTGGTTTTATCAGGCTCCGGCTCTGAGATAAGAGCCCATCTCTGAAATCCCCGTGAGATTTATTGCAAGCGCGCCTCGGTTCTGTCCTCTAGCGTTTGCCTAGAAACTGTCGTCGCTCGCCGCATAATTTATACCAATTTAAATTTATTCTTCACGCATTATTCAACATTTATTTGTTTATTTTCCTCGCCAATTTTATGAGCACAGCCAAGATCTTCGTGTAAGCACAATTACACATCTGGCAAACGACTATGTAACAATCATTATCATCATCATTATCATCACTGCGATATAGAAAGAGACAGCTATTGCTCGCAGTCAAGTTGGTTTCTCGGAAATACTCAAAGTTCTTATCGGGAACTATGTGTTTTCACATATGGCCTCAAAAATGCAGTAGGCTGCGTTTTAGGCTTTGTTAATGTGTCTGATAGAAGGCACAAGGCAGATTTCATGTTTTGAATATGTTTACTTGAATATTTTGACTTGAATTACGTTTGAAATCTATCAAGTTTTCTTTTTCACATGTCACATGTCGGTATTTTAATCTCTGAATGTTGATCATTGAGACGTGTTTCATACTTTTTCAGGATCCAAGCTTCCTCGGTGGAAAATGCGATTCAAATCATTTTTATGTTTTGTGCATACATACATACACATATACATATACATTCCATATACATATACATACATACACATGTATACATGCATGTATGTATGTATGCATTTTTGCATGCATAAATATACGCATGCATACATACATATATCTGTGTGCATGTCTGAATATAAATGTATGCATGTTAGTATATACATATATGTATGCATGTTTATTTGTATATATGTATAGAAACATGCATACAAACATACATAAATAAATACATACATACATACATCAATAAATATATACATACATGCATAAATACATACATGCATCCCTACATACATGCATACCTACATACATACATACATACATAAGTACATACGTACATACATACGCACATACATGCATACATACCTACATACATACATACATTCGAACATACATACACTCGTACATACATATCAATGTACATATATACACACAAAAATACAAGAACAAAAAACAACAAAAAAACACTACACTTCTAGCTAAGCATAAAAACTGCAGAGCCTACTTGAATTCTTGAGAATCGAGGAGAAGAGCACTTGATAGAAATTCGTTTTATTTAAATTTGCAGCAAAGCGACAAATAAGCTTGGTCTGCGTTTGGTATTAGAAAACATATATTCATAAATGCATACATGCATGCATACACTAACACACACACGCCCACACATCCATACACACACATTATTTTTGGTTAAAATTCAAGTAAATATGGTACGCTCAAATATCCTATAGAGACATAGAGACATAACTTGGTCAAATCACATCCGATTATCACGAGGTTTGGCCTCTTTGTTCATGGTTTGGCCTCTAAAGCTGGCAACATTATTCTTGTATATTTATATATGAATATACATGTACATCTGTGTTCCTTATCATGAGAAAACAATAATAACAACCCCAAGGGTAGGGTATTATGAATCAACTCTAGCTTCCATATAACTGGGCTTAAAGCTAACACATTTTGCAACGGTCAAAATATATAATTTGCCGGCAATACATATACTTTTTTATATCACTTTATTTCAAATTAATAATATATCATATATATGTATAAGGCTACAATATCGTCAATGCATATCCAAAAGATAACATTGTTTGCGTCTAAATATAATTATATAACTACACATTAGTATATAGTAGTATGTATATATATCATATATCATATATCATATATCTTATATATATATATATATATATATATATATTAAAAAAAACACTCAGGTTTTATATTTTCCTCTTGCACAGTTAAGTACATACTGTATGCGTATTTCTTAAAGATTTTGTCATCGAAGTCTTACGACTAATTCTGTCTGTGTGGGTGTCCGTGTGTGTGTGTGTGTGGTAGTGTGTGTGGGAGTGTGTTGCATGCAATACAGTAGCCATTCTTTCAGCCCCACTCTTAACAGTATGCTACAAGATTTTGCTTTTTGGTCCTGGCATCTATGTGAATACCCAGCAAATGTTATTGCTTTTCGCTTTTGTCAATTTTTGCATTTACATATCTTACAATAAGGCATTTATTTTCCCCCCGAATCCAGAAAAGCTCTCGCAAATATTAAAAAAAAAAACGTGCTCAAATCTAACGAGCTGCTTATAGGCATATAGTTGTATACATATATATATGTATATGTATATATTTATATATATATATAGTTAAATTTGTTTGTAAGTAATCTGGCATTTTATTGGCTCTCTATTGAATGCATATCTCTGGGGTTGATATTTTGTTGCTCGCTTCTGGTGGGTTGATTTTGTTCATTCTCTATATATATATCGCCATCTCTGTCTCTATCGCGCGCTCTCTCCGTCCCTCTCTTGCCATCGTTTTGTCTCTGTTTCTTGGCTTTTACAAATATAAGTTATATATTTATAGGCTTTTGAGCTGTGCCTTATTTGCGACAAATCTGTCTATATATATATATATGTAATACCTTTTTGAACATAACTTTATTTAAGTTAACTAAGTTCACTTAACTTGGCTTCAGCTATATATATATATATTTTTATGGTCATATAATAGGCATATAAACTTGTTAAACTGATAAATCAATTCCACTTTAGTTACATATATAGTTAGTTGGTGTTGGGTTCTTGTTTTATGCTCGTTGCTTAACTTCGCTTTAAAGTAACATATATCAATTTTAAAGCCATTTTTGTTATTTGTTGCTTTTATGCCTTTTTGTTCATTATAAGTTTACATATTAACTTTTGTAAATTTTCTTGTTAAGAACTAACTTATAGACTATCTTTGAACTATCACATACAAGTTCATACAATAATACAAAAAAAAAAAATGATGAAAACAAAAGGAAAATAATATTAAGCATAAATCATATGAAACGTTACGTTAATAGATCTTAGCTAGAGCATACTACATACATATATATTGGACTGGCAAATGAGAGTTAAATACAATTAGAGGAGAAGGTTACACTACGCAACGGCTTTATATTATATAATTTTGTGGGCTATTCACGAATGAAAGTTATGGAGAATATGCTTCCTTTTCAAAACTGAAACTATTTGCTGGGCAGATCTTAACTCGTGCCGCAAATAACCCACATACGTATATATATATTATATATATATATATAAATATATAAATATATATATATGTGTGTGTGTGTGTATATATCTATTCATATAACTAATTAAGTATTAAGTAGTATGCATTTAGTTTCAGTGTATGAGTTTAAATTAATGCATCTCTATTAATTCTCTCTTGATCTTTGGCCTTCATATTACAGCTTGACATCCTGAGCGGCTGGCGCTGTTGTTGTTGTGGCTTCTGTTGCGGCTGCGGCTCCTGTTGCGCCCTCCTGTGTGGGCAGCTGTGCCGCATCGGCGGTTCGACGACGCGATTGAATAAACTCGACCAGATACTCAATGCCCCAGGCCAGGGCGCATATCAGGATGCAAACGCTCTGCGTGTGTATGCAAATGGGATAGCTGTCGGTCAAATCGCGAATAAGACCTAGAAAAAGCAAATTGGCGAATTAGAGAGAGAGAGCGAGTTCGAAATCTAACCAAATCTTAGCACTTACCAATCAAGGGTCCAAAGCTGATGACGAACAGCGCCTTGCCCACCAGATGCCAGCCAAAGGCCGAGGGCAGCTTCTCCAGCGAACAGTACTCGGAGACGGTCAGCGTAAAGTTGCTCAAAGCTGAGCCGCGGAAGAAGCCGCATATGGATAGCCACACCATCAGCTGAGTCCATTCCGTCTGCTCGGCCATGACTGCAAAGATCATTGACATACATTTAGATATATAGAGAGAGAGAGAGAGAGAGATGAATCCACGACTTACTGGAACGCGTGAGTGCCACAAAGATGATGGAGACCAGGAATATGGTGCGCTTCTTGATCGTCGTCCTGTCAAAGAGCGGAGGCAGCACAATGCGCGCCGCAATATCCGTAATCGCTGTTATCGATAGACAATAGGCGACGTCCGCCTTGGAGTAGCCCAGGTTGGCAAAGAAGAAGGGCGTCACCATCTTGAAGTTCATCTCGGCCACGTAGAAAATGGACAGACCGAACAGGAGATTGAGAAACATTTTGTCCTTGAGCATGGCAATGTCGAGCAGATCGGCAAATCGACGCCAGAAGCCGGGCTTCTTTACATTCTTCTTGGCCTCCTCATCCAGCTCCGTTTGTTGTTTCTCCAGCTCGGTGGGCTTCATTTTGATGAAGCTATCCCGATGGCCGCCCAAAATGCTGCCCGTGGCGGTGCCCACGCGTCGCAGCTCACGATCGTTTTGCTCGAACTCATCGTCGCCGGTGTTCAGATGGACTTGGAGTATGGAGCCGGTGAAATCCATGTAGGACAGATTCGAGGTGACCGACGCCTTGCGGCAGCGCAACTGCGTTGTATTCACCTCGGCCTGTGAGGGATAACCACCGCTGCCGCTGCCCACATCCGCGGACTGGACACCCGCCAGGGACATGATGCGCGGAAACGTTGGCCGCTTGGTCAGACCCAGCCTGGAGCCGTTCATAGTGTTCATTGCCATTTCGGAGTAGTTTTTGCGTATGGACGGATGATTGTGCTGGTGGTGATGCTTGTTGAACAGAAGCGTATTCAGCTCCGGCAGCGCATCCTCCTCATTGCCATCCTCTTTGATCACGTTGAACGTGGGCGCCGGATTCGCTGCTGCGCCAGTGCCGCCTGCCGTCAGCTGCGGCTGCGGCGTTGGCAGCGCCGATATACACATAAGTTCCTCGTCATCGAACTCCTCCTTCATGTGCCATTTGATCGGCTGCAACAGCACCGAGCCGACGGTCGCATTCAGCGCAACGCCGGACAGCAACAGGACAGCGCCCCGAAAGCCATAACCCTCCAGCAGGATGCGCACCAGCTGCGGCATTATCAGCATGCCCATCGCTGTGCCCGCCATGGACAGGCCCACCGCCTGGCCGCGCTTGTGCTTGAAATAATGATTCAGGGCCACAAACGCCGCCGACGTCGACAGCCCGACGCCAATGCCATTGATCACACTGTACGTGCTGAGTATGTGCGCCATGGTGGTGGCCGGCGAGGTTAGCGCCAGGCCCAGTCCACAGAGCAGCGAGCCGGCAATGGCCACCTTGCGGTAGGAGAACTCCTTCAGCAGCGGACCCACAAACAAGCCCGAGAAGTTCATGCACACGTCCATCGTGCTGATGATAATCGCCGCCCCGGTGGTGCCCACATCCAGATCCCGCAACGTGTCCCCGAACAGCAGCCCAAACGATGGCTCAATCGAGCGGGTGGCCAGCTGCAAATGGCAATAACAAGGTAAGCATCACATTAAATTTCGATAAAATTATCTATACAATTAGCTAATTGGGAGATTACACGGCTTTACAGCTAAGTAGCGCTATGTAAAACCTTTCAACTGATTCTAATGCATTAGGCTCTTATATAATAATAATAATAATAACGATAATAACAATAATAATAATAACGGAAGGCAGCACTTGATTCTCAAATGCGAAAATTCTTATCTACACAGTTTGTCGATGGATCCCGACTTTGATTAATTATTGAACAATAAAATCTGACTGACTGACTAACTGACTGATTGACTGACTGACTGATTGATTGAATGACCGATTGATGATCTACGCACAACCCAAACCGTAAAAGCTAGACAAGATTAACTGTAGTACCTTATGTGATGGAAGTTGCGCTAAAACGGGGTCTTTAGGAATTTCACCCGGATATGTGGAAAAAACGCGAGATTATGTCGTTTCAAGGCGACATTCTATATTTGAGGTAATTCAAAACATTTTCAAATATCTATGTAGAATAGATCTTTAGGCATGGAGGTTAGTATAGATTTAAATATTCCACGGGTTGATGCCTTTTCGAAAATTCCATCCGTAAGTGTGAGCAGTTTTGTGAAACTTCTTTGTTAACCTTTCAATAAGCCTTAAGCGCATTTCGAAAGTTTTTTGTGACTTTCATTTCAGACGGATGGAAAATGGTTGGAAAAGTAATCGGAGCCTGGCAAAGCCGGGCAATACACACTATATATACATATATATTCGAGCACTTTGTTATCCCATGAGGCTAAAATCACACTTAACCTGAGGTAAATATAATCTCTAATCTATAATTGTCTGTCATTCTAACTTCTAATAATTGTCTCTTGTATTTCAGAATTCGGGAACGCAAGCTCAACTGTTTGTAGGACAATAATAATGTTGTTTATCGCAAAAACAACAAAAAAAAAAATGTATATATATATATATATATGAAATCGTTATCTGTGTGTTACAGTGCGCTAATAACTAACTTACTTTATGGAGGTGGACTGGAACAGGAAGCTATACCCGCTCGACGCGATCCTATAATTTATGACCTTAGCCCGGTTTTTATATTGACCAATTTGTTGAAGCTAATCGGATGTTCGACGGCCGCGTGATTTATCGGCCAAACAGCAAAACAACAAAACAACAAGCCAAACAAATCATAATCAGCAAAAAAAAAAACACCACAAAAATGGGCGGGCAACGTCATCATATTCCAACTTATTATCGTCAGCAGAGGCGATAAAGCCGGGTAAGTAGACAGCCCCTACTTATGTACATATATATATATATATATCTGTAATATAGATATGTATATATATTGGTAGTCTAGTATGAATGCACTTGAAGTTGTGACAGTTCGTCAATCCCTCAATTCGTTGGCCTTCATTATATCATGCAACAGGCTGCTGATTTGCCTGTCCCCAAATAAAAGTGTGGGCTCGAGGGCAACGTTGTCTCTGCGAGACCGAGACCTTCTTGCCCCGCGCAGCTAATTCATTTGTATTCCGAGCTTTATAAAGTTAACATTGAAGCTCTCAACTATTTTGAATAGTTAAATACAATTTGTGAAAATAAATAAATGCATATAAATAAGTAGTTAGGTAGATATTGCATATAGATGTAGATATATAAATAAATAGAATAGGATTGGACTATCTAACAATATTTAACTGTTCCCTACTTTAACTTAGATCAAGTATAAATATAGTATTAATCTTTTAACTAACAGCTTTTGGCACTTGCCCTCGTTCTTAGCTATGTAGAATTGTCATAAACAGCACACATTAAATCAATTTCCACTCTTATTTCACTTGCGCTTTCACCTTTCTATGCGATCTAATGCATTTTCTATGTGAACTAAGCTCCCGATCGTTTTCTGTACTCTGCCCGTTGTGTTGCCCTGTAAACTGATTAATTTAATGGTTCTTCGTGTTTCTCCCATTCTGATTGTCGTTTTTAACCTTAAACAGGTACTCGAATGGTTAGGTTTTTTTTTCGTGTTTATTGATGATGATTCGTGAAGTGCTTTATTTGTGCCTTTGCAACGATTATTATTGATTGTGCTGTTATTGATTTTCGTGTACGCGTGTGTATCGCTTTTCATTTCACTCAAGCAAGAACCTACCTTCCCCCCTCCGCCCCGCAACCCAACGTCTTGCCAGGAAAGAGTTGGTGCTAGATGGTTTATGGGCGTTTCATTCAAAACGTTAATTGCTTGATAATTGAATTATCACCAATCATAATTGAAACTAGCAAAGCAACACGCGCTCAGCTAATGCCACAAAAACAGAACACGCTCCTTAAATGGCGCTCGACGGAACTCTAGACTAGTTTTTTGTTGCCTAGGCATCGATCGTAAGTTTTTTAGGGCTGGTGTTGCTATAATTATAATTGGGCGCACTTTGATTTTGTCAACTCGCATGTGATCGAGACATGGCACCAGCTTATTCGCACGCACTGTTGCTTATCTCGGCGCACATACTAGATACATAATGTGTACATATAGAGGACATGCAACATTTGTGATGTAACAATTTGTTTGTGCAAATGTATGTAATAGGCAGAAGGAAGCATCACCGATCCCATATAGTATATATATTCTTGATCAGCATCAACAGCCGAGTCGATTTAGCCATGTCCGTCTGTCTGTTCGTCCGTCCGTATGAACGCAAGGATCTCAGAACCTATTAGAGCTAGAGAATTGCAATTTTAGCTGTCGGTCCTCCTAGTCCATGCGCAGACCGAGTTTGTTTCCGATATTCGATAACTTGCCCCGTTTCCAAGTAATCGATAAAAATCGATATCGAAAACCTGTTTTTTGAGCAATTTTGGTAAATAATAAGAGCTAGAGTCACCAAACTTGACATGTAGCTTCTAGAATAGTAAATATATATGTATCTGTCGGAAGAAGAGAGTTCAGGGTATCCCCTAGTCGGGAGCTCCCGTTTAGAACCTCTTACTTGCTAGTTAATATCTTATTTATTCTGCCACACATCTTTTACATAATTGTTGCATTATCCTAATCAGCTGATTTATTTGTATAGATTTACGTTCCATTCGTGTTGCCGATCGTTTTTCCATTCTATTTGCACATTGTAATTTTCCAGCCCGCCTCCTCCTTCCTCCTCCCGGCCCGCCCCATTGTAATGTGCAAATCTAAATTTTGGTTAGGCGAAATTTGGTTTTATTTGCTTTTAGCATTTGCCAATGCGGATTTTTAGCGCAAAACAGCAAAAGTCAAACAAAAACATGAGAAACCAACTCGTCGTTAATCGGTGTGTTTGACAGTGAATGCGACCGAGTTATTGGCGCCCCCCCCCCTCCCCCCTCCCCCCTACCACCAACCACCAACCACCTGCCCCTTTGCAGCCGTAAACGTATCGAGAAATCGTGAGCCGCAAATGCTTTAAATCAGCTTTTGATTTATATTTATTGGCCCCTGTTTGCGCTGCTTATTTGCCCAACACACGGGCCAAAGCTAGGTGTCGAAAGGGTTGCCACTCTGTGTGTGTGTGTGTGTGTGTGTGTGTGTGTGTGTGTGTGTGTGTGTGTGTGTGTATCTGTGTGTGTGTGCGAGTTTTGCACTAGACATTTTATTATTTGTAAACATTTGTGCAATATTTTCCAATCTAATTAACAAGTAGTCGCTGTGACGACCACTTGCGTGAAATTAACGTGATGTTCGGATGTTCGCAAACGTTAGTTCAAATCGAGAACCTATATACATATATATATAGCCATTACCTATATACTATATATATATATATATATATATATATACACATATGTATATAATTGCATGGGGGCAATATAAGTTGACGTTTGATGTGGGTGAATTGATGTTGGCCCCATTTCAACTTAATTATAGTATATAAACAAGGAAACACGCCGAATATTAAATGCTCTTGCACAAAAGCAAATGCTATAGGGGACCATATAGAAGAAGCATGTGATATAGAGTAGAAGCTTCCATATTTGCGACGCGGTTGTCCGCTTATCGGAATGCATTTTGCATGCAATAAAAACTTATGAAAAGCTTACGAAATTTGTAGGCAGCCCCTTATGGGAGATTACACTGTATTTACACGAATTGCCCGGTTTGTTAAATATCTTGAAATACATTTTTCTATCACATTATATATTACTCCCGATATTGATAAGATTTATAAAGATGACATTTGTATCTAGAATAAAGTTCTACGAACATTTGGTATGAATATTTGTATAGGGTAACTGCTAGTCAATCATATTCTTGCTTGTATTTCGTTTAGTATTAGCCAAACTACACCTTTTGTTGGCTAATCGACTTTCGGGTGATTCCGTTAAAATATTCCCTGAAATTGCTTAGTTTTTTTTTGCAATAATATATAATATAATATTATTACTGTGTTTTTTTTTTTAGCGCTCATCGCAGCAGCTGTAATTGAAATAGTCTACAGCTAAACATGTGTCTTCATTGCGAGTATTTGGCAAATTGGCAATTAATTAGGGGCCATTAATTAGACTAGTCAGCGAAGAGAGCTGGCGAATACATTGATCTTAAGTGGAAATCGCTCTCGATCGATAACAAATCAGCTGTTCCCAACAGCAGCTGGTCTCACTGGTCAAAGCAAAGAAAGCAAACCTTCAAAAAAATAGAACAGCTGCTAGGCTGCATTCTTAAGGAACAGTTACAGTAATAGTTACAGCTAAGATTTTTTTCTGATAGCCCTAAAAGTATTTCGTAGAATTCCTAGATGTTATGCATATTGAAGCTGAATTAGCTGAATTTGGCTTGAAATAAGATGCACTTGTTAACTTGGAAAGGTTTTCCTTTTTATACCTTTTTGTCACGAGACGTGTAACGCACTGAAGGAGTCATCTCCTATACCATAAAGTGTACATATATATTCTAGATCAGCATCCGAGTTGATATGTCCGTCTTTCTCTTTCTATGGGAACTAGTCGCTCAGGTTTTAAG